GAGCTGGGGTTGTTGAGCCTGGAGAGGAGGAGGCTCAGGGGAGACCTCAGCACTCTCTGCAACTCCCTGAGAGGAAGTGTAGCAAGATGAGGGTTGGTCTCTTCTCCCAGGACAAGAGGGCACAGTCTTAAGCTGCACCAGGGAAGGTTTAAGTTGAACATTAGGAAGAAGTTCTTCACAGAAAGAGTGATTGGGCGTTGGAACGGGCTGCCCAGGGAGGTGGTGGAGTCACTGTCCCTGGAGGTGTTTAAGAAGAGGCTGGATGTGGCATCAGTGCCATGGTCTAGTTGACAAGGTGGTGTTGGGTCATAGCTTGGACTCAGTGACCTCAGAGGTCTTTTCCAACCTATTTGATTCTGTGATTCCTCCTCTTCTTCCTTCTTTTTTCTCCTTCTGGTTCTTCCTTCTTCTTCCTTCTTTCCTTCCTCCTCTTGTTCCTTCCTCCTTTTTTTTCTTTTTCTGCTTGTTCTTTCCTTTCATGTTCCTTCCTCTCCTTCTTCCTTCCTGCCCCAGGCCCTGAGCTGAGGACAGAGAGCACGGAGGACAAATCCCCCCGGCAGAGCCTGGTGGGAGAGGCCGTTTTGAAGGGCTCCCCGGCGCAGGAAGGCAGCGGGGAGGAAAAGGCCCGGAGATGCCCCCGGAGGAGGGGCTGCAAAGCCAGCCCAGGGAGCTGTGAGGAGGAAAGAGCCGTCCTGTGCTGGGAAGGCGGCTGAAGCTTCGGCTGGAGCTCTGAGCTGGTGGTGCAGCAGCACCTCAGTGCCCAGAAGTGCCCTGAGTGTGGGAAGAGCTTCAGCCAGAGCTCCAACCTCCTTGCCCACCAGCACATCCACACTGGGGAACGGCCCTACAAGTGTGTGGAATGTGGGAAGAGCTTCATCCATGGTTCCCACCTCTGGAAGGACACCTGGCTGGTGGTCTCCACATCCTCCTGGTTCCCTGCAGGCACCTAGGTAAATGCAGGGGGAGAACATCCACCAGGACACAGCCCGAGGTCAGAAATTTATAGAGAAGAGCGGATTTGTTGACTTTAGACCCCCCAAAAATCTCACCTGTTCTGTCCAGTTGTTCCTTCTGGTGGCATCAAGCAACACTGGGTGATCTTCAAGGTCTTTTCCAACTTAAATAATTCCGTGATTCTGATTCTCTACGGCCCAAGGGCATTTTCCACAGCCAAATGGTGATGGACTGGGGCAAAGACCAAGATTTTGGAGACAGTGGAGTGTAAAACCCCCTGAAAAGGCTCTTCTACCCACCCAACCCAACCCCATGGATACTCACGTGGTGCCAAAACGTAAATCCTTTTATTTTGGCCTTGATTTACTTTCGATTCACCTTCATCCATTCAAAACACCCCAAACTGGGGCAAAAATAAAGACATATAAAGCCCCACCATTTTACTGGGATTTGGGAGTTCAGGGGGATATTTGGGAGGATTTGGGGTTGTAGATGTACCTGTGCACAAACCTCTCCCAGTTGGGGCCATTCAGGAAGTGACAGCTGAGTTTTCCCAGGAACTGGAACAGCCTTTTATCTGCAGGGACACAAATCAGGGGCTGCCCCCCCAATCCTGCACCCCACAGCAGGTTGGGAGCTCTCCCATCCCCCTTTCCCATCCCTTTTTGGTGCTTCCAGTAATTTGTCTTGGCTTCTCCTGCTTTTCTTCCTTTCTCTCCTCTCTTTTGGTTTTAGCAAATGAAGTTGGATTATCCTTTTGGAATCCAACATCTGGCCTCATCTGAGCCTTAATCGTGCTTGGGGGTATCTTAGAACCCAATTCCTCCCCTCATTTGTGGGTCAAGGCAAACTTTGCCAAATATCACTAAAAATCCTCCTAATTTTACCCCAAATCCCCTTAATTCCACTCAAAGTTTCCTTAGTTCCATGTAAAATTCCCCTCATTTGTCCCCAAATCCCTGATTTCACTCTAAATTCTCTTAATTCCACTGAAGATCCCCTTAATTCCACCTAAAATCCCCCAAATATCACCCCAAGTCTCTTAATTCAACACCCAAAATCCCTTAATTCCAACTAACCCCTCGATCTCCCAGGAATTCTCTTAATTCCTCCCCAAATCCCCTTAATTCCACCCAAAATCCCCCTAATTTCACCCCAAATTCTTTAACTCTACCCAAAATTCCCTTAGACTCTTCTAAAATCCCCATAGTTGCCCCTGAAGTCCCACTAATTTCACCCCAAATCCCCAAGATTCAGTCAAAAATTCCCTTAATTTCACACAACACTCCCTTAACCTGGCCCACTCCACAATTTCACCCCAAATCCCTGATTTCACCTCAAATCCACTCAATTCACCTCAAAAGTCCCTTAACTCCACCTACAATCCCCTAAAATCATAAAAAATCCCAATCATTTCACCCTAAATCCACTTAATTCCACCCAAGATTCCTTTAATTCCATCCAAAATCCCCCCAATATCACCACAAATGCCCTTAATTCCACTTAAAATTCCCTTAATTCCACCTAAAATCTCCCTAATTTCACCCCAAATCCCTTTATTGAACCCCAAATTCCCATAATTTCACCCCAAATCCCCAAGATTCCACCAAGATTTCCCTAATTTCACACAAAATTCCTTTAATTCCACCTAAACACCCCTAATTTCACCTCACCTCCTCTGATTTTCACCTCGTATCGCAATGGTTCTACTCAGAGTTGCCTCAACTCCACCTAAAATTTCCATAAGATCATCAAATTCCTCCTGAATTCACCCCAAATCCGTTTAATTCCAGTTGAAATCCCCTAAATCCCACCTAAAATCCCCATAATCCCATCAAAATCCCCTATTTCACCCCAAATCTCAATTCCAGTCGAAATTCCCTTAATCCCACCTACAATTTCCCTAATTTCACCCAAATCCCCGAGTTCACCTCAAGTGCCCTTAATTCCACCCCTAATCCCCAAACCATCCCCCAGAATCGATTCATTCAATCCCCCAAACCCTCAATTTCTCCCCCCTCAATCTCACCAAAATCCCCATTTTCACTCAAAACTCCCTGAATTCCATCCAAAATTCCCTAAAGCCCTTCTAGGCCCCCCTAACCCCCCACCTCGGACCCCTAAAGCCCCCCTAAACCCCCTTTAGTGACCCCCCAGAGCCCCCCTTTCCTATGGGGCCCGTCCTCCCAGGATTTGGGGGTCCGAGGGGGCACTCGGGGGGCACTTGGGGGTCAGAGGGGGAACTTGAGAATCCGAGGAGGCGTTAATGGGGCACTGAGGGGGCACTTCGGGGTCAGGGGAGGGAATTTGGGGGCCCTCGGGAGGCTGCGAACCCCGGGTAATGGGGGTCTATGGGGCCGCGGGGCGTGATGGGAGTTGTAGTCCTGGCTGGCAATGGCGCTCAGGCGGCCGCGGTGCATGACGGGAGCTGTAGTTCCGGAAGAGTCTAAAGCCGCTCTGGCTCCGGGCCCCGCCTCCCCTCTCCTTTCTCGGGCGCGGATTGGCTGCGGGAGTTGACGGGCGGGCCCTGCGACCAATGGGAGGCCGTAGAGGCGGGAACTGCCCAGGCTACCGCTGCAGTCCCTGCCAGTACAGCCCAGTTCATTCCCAGGCCCTCCCAGTATGGGCCAGTTCAGTCTCAGTTCAGTCCCAGTCCCGCCCGGTATAGTCCAGTTCATCCCCAGGCCTTCCCAGTACAGCCTGGTTCCCCAGGGCCCTGCCAGCTTCCCCCAGTCTGTCCTCCAGTGTCCCCAGTCCCTCCAGTCCAACTCAGTTCCCCCCTGTCCCTTCCAGTCCACCCAGGTGCCCACCCACCCCCCCAGTATCCCCCAGTATGTCCCATTCCCTCCCAGTGTCATTCCCAGCATGTCCCAGTGTCCCCCAGCCCTCCCCAGTGTCCCCCCCAGTCCCTCCCCATTCCCCCAGTGTCCTCCCCAGTGCTCCCATTGTCCCCCAGTAAGTCCCAGTCCATCCCAGAATCATTCACGGCATTCCCAGCGTCCACCATTATGTCACAGTGACCCCCAATGTCTCCCATAGTGTCCCCCAGCATGTCCTGGTCCATACCAGTATGTCCCAGTCCACTCCAGTGTCCCCCCAGTCCACCCCAGTGCCCCTCTTAGTGTTCTCAGTGTCCTCCAGTCCCTCCCAGTATCACTCCAGTATGGCCCGGAGTCCATCCCAGTTGCCCCCACAGTCCACTCCAGTCCACCACCCGTGACCACGCCCCCTTACCCGTGTCCACGCCCCCTTACCCATGACCACGCCCATTCGACGATGACCACGCCCCTCAGCCGTGGTCACGCCCCCCAGGTCTCACCCCCCAGTTTTACCTGTGGCTGCTCTGGGAAGGTGAGTGACCCCCGCAGTCCCCCCTCAGACCTTCCCAGTTACCCTCCAGTCCCTCCCAGTTAACCCCTCGTTCACTCCAGTCTGTCCCAGTTACCTCCCAGTCACCCTCCAGTCCCCCCAGTTGCTCCTAATCCCCTTCCAGACCCCCCAGTTGCTCCCAGTCCCCCTGCAGTTGCTCCTAGTCCCCTTCCAGTCCCCCCAGTCCCTCCCAGTGCTCCCCAGTGGCTCCCACTCTCCCTCGAGTCCCCCCTAGTCCCTCCAGTTGTTCCCAGTCCCCCGCAAATTGGGCACCCAGTAACCCTCCAGTTCCCCCAAATCCCCTCCAGTCCCTCCCAGTGCCTCCAAATCCCCTCCAGTCCCCCCAAATCGCCCCCATCCCCTCCCAGTCCCCCCCAGTCGCTCACAGTTCCTTCCAATCCCCCCAGTAACCCCCCCCTTCCCTCCCAGTCCCGCCCTGCTCAGGAATCCCAGTGACTCACCCACCCCTCCCCCACCCGGACGCCCGGGATTCCCGGGGGGGGGGGGGCGGCCCCCCCCCCCCCCTTTCCCGGTTTTTCGGGACCCCCTGGAATCTTCCCCTCCCCCCAGGGGTCAAAAGTCACGAGATGGAGCAGGAAAGCCTGAGGGTGCTGGTGCTACTGGGAGGTACTGGGAGGGACTGGGGGGAAACTAGGAGGGACTGGGGGAGGACTAGGGGGAACTGGAGGGGACTGGGAGCAGTTGAGGAGGAACTGGGATATATATACTGGGAGGGGATTGGGAGGGAACTGGGAGGCACTGGGGGAGGACTGAGTGGGGACTGGGAGCAACTGGGAGGGAATTGGGGAGGACTGAGAAGGAACTGGGAGCAAATGGGAAGGAACTGAGGGGACTGGGATATTCTGGGGGGAATTGGGGGGGGGACTGGGATATACTGGGAGGGGATTGGGAGCAACTGGGAGGGAATTGGGGAGGACTGGGAGTAACTGGGTAGGGAACTGGTTTATTTTGAACTGGGAGGAACTGGGACCATTGATCCCCCCCAAACTGTTCCCCTCCCTGTCCCAGTTCTGTCCATGGTGAGAGGGAACCCCCACACTGGTGAGTGACTGGGACAAACTGGGGCCAACTGGGGGGTGGGTGTGTGTACTGGGAGTGGGGTGGGGTCATACTGGGAGTGGGGAGGGTCATACTGGGAGTGGAGGTGGGGTTCATACTGGGTTATAGTGGGATGGGGGGGCCATACTGGTTTATAGTGGGATGGGGAGGCCGTACTGAGTTATGCTGGGATGTAAGGGATCCGTACTGGTTTATACTGGGATGAGGGCTCACACTGCTGTGGGGGGCTCATACTGGGTTGGGGGGAGCCCATACTGGTTTATACTGAAATGGGAAGGTCCATACCGGGTCTGTACTGGGTTATACGGGGATGGGGGTGCCTATACTGGTTTATACTGGGGTGGGGAAGTCCTGGTCCCTCTGACTCTTCCCCTCCCCACAGATGCCAACAATCCCTTCCAGTACGGTGAGTGGGGACCAGTCTGGGGGGACTGGGAGGGAATTGGGGAGGACTGGGAAAAAATTTGGGGGGGGCTGGGAGGGGTAGGGGGGAATGGGGATGTCCCCAGGTGTGTCCTCAGGTGTGTCCCAGCTGTCCCCCCAGCTGTCCCCAGGTGTGTCCCCAGCTGTCCCCAGCTGTCCCCAGCTGTCCCCCCAGCTGTCCCCCAGGTGTGTCCCCAGCTGTCCCCAGGTGTGTCCCCAGGTGTGTCCCAGCTGTCCCCCCAGCTGTCCCCCAGGTGTGTCCCCAGCTGTCCCCAGGTGTGACAGGTGTGTGTCCCCAGACTGGCATCACCTGCGCGTGGCCGGGCTGGGCGTGGCCGCCGTCCTGTGCGTCTTGGGCTTCGTCGTCCTGCTCAGTGAGTGTCACCTCTGCCAGCTGGGGGAGGTCCCCAGTGTCACCCGGGGGGTCCCTGTGTCACCTTCTCTGTGTCACCTGTTGTGTCCCCTGACAGGTGGGAAGTGCAAGTGCCGGAGCAAGGCCAGGTGGGACAGGGGCACACTGGGGGGCACTGGGAGGACTGGGGGGACACTGGGGGGGACAAGGGGGGCACTGGGGACATTGGGGACATAGAGGTGTCCCTGACCCCGCCCACCTCCCACAGCCACCGACGACCTCCCCCCGAGATGTCACACCTGGTTGGGACAGGTGAGTGTCCTCTCCCCCTTGGGGGCATCTGGAGTACCTGGGGACAAAGGGGGGGCTCTGGGGACATTGGAGGGGACATTGGGGACAATGGGGACCCCCCCTAGTCTCCCCTCTCTTCACAGGAGCCACCAGCACGTGCTGAGGTGTCCCCAGGTGTCCTCGAGTGTCCCCAAGTACAGCAACACATGGAGGGGGGACGGGCGGGTTTATTTTGGGGTGAAACCCCCCCCAAAACAGCCCAACAAATGGGGAAAATGAATAAAAAAAGGTAAAAAAAAAAAAAAAAGGGTAATTTGGTTCTTGGGGGGGGTGATGGCACGTAGGGGGACATCGAGGGGGGACATGGGGACAGGGGACAGTGCTGGGGGGTGGCACGTGGAGGGGACAAGGTGACATGGGGTGATAGTGGCCTTGGGGGCATCAGGGGGATGGTGGCACCAGGAGAGGACATCAGGTTGATGGTGGCCTTGGGGACGGCGAGTGCCACATGCAGGGGACATGAGGTCAGTGGTGACACTGTGGTGACAGTGGCCTTGGGGACACAGGGTTGATGGTGGCACCAGGAGGGGACATTGTGCCAATGGTGATATTGCGGTGATGGTGGCCTTGGGGACATCGGGGCATTGGTGGCATCAGAAAATGAAATTGGGCCAATGGTGACATCAGGTTGAAGGTGGCTTTGGAGACATTTTGGTTGGTGGTGGCACCAGGAGGAGACAGGGGACATCAGGACCATGGTGACACCAGGAGGTGACACAAGTTCAGCGTGACATCAGGTTGATGGTGGCCTTGGGGATATCATGGCAATGGTGTCACCAGGAGGGGAGAACGTGAGGTGGTGGCCTTGGGGGCATCAGGGCGATGATGACACCAGGAGGGGACACGAGGCCAGTGGTGACACTGGGCTGACAGCGGTCTTGGGGACGTCAGGGGGATGGTGGCACCAAGGTCCATGATGGTGAGGGGGATGATGTCCCCATGTCCCTCAGGTAACCAGGTCCATGGTCACATGGTGTCCCTAAGTCCCCCAGGTGACCAAGTTCAGGACATCTGTTGTCCCCATGTCCCTCAGGTGACCAGGTCCATGTCACGTGGTGTCCCCACATCCCTCAAGTGACCAGTCCATGGGGACACAGTGGCTGATGTCCCCATGTCCTCTCATGCCCCGAGCTCTACGGTGATGTGCCAGTAGATCTGGGTGGCCCCTTTGAAGCTCGAGGCCACAAGGAAGTGCCGTTGGCCAACGGTGACAGGGACAAAGGCACGGGGGGTGGGCACCAGCAGCTCCTGGGTGGGCTCCAGGT